TGCTGGGCCAGGCTCCATAGGGTTCCTACAACTGTTCCAGGAATATAGATCTTCCTGTTTCCTTGACGTGAAGATGGCATCAGATTGCTCAGGAATCATCATCCTGACCTATTCTCCTGCTATTGTGAAGATGAGGATGAAATATTGTTACAGCCCATCTCTGTTTCTCCTTATCTTTATCTTATATTCTACTAGGAGTGAATCTCTTTGGAGATGCTCAGTGCATTTGCTGTTGTTGAATGTGCAGTAACAGTACAAGCTGGTGGGAGAATTTAGAAGCAGTTGAAGGAAGTTTTAGGTAAAGCTCATTGAAGCTGCTGAAAATGGAACAAGGTCAAAATAACATCATGACCAGATAATATGTGAAGGTTTATGACAAAATGGGACTTCTGGGTTTTCTAATCACATATATTAAAATAGGATAAAATACAATGTAAAATTATATTTTTATAATTCAAAACATTTATTTTTCTAGATCATGAGTCTCTAATCTGTAACTTTTAGAGCCTTACCTGAAAAGTAGTATGGGTTTGGATGGGTTTTCCCTACACTTCATTACTAGAGTTTGGCATCTCCCAATTCTAAAGTAATAGGAGGGCAACTTTAATATTTATACCCAAAGCTGTGAAGAAACAAGTATTATTTTAGCATAATAAGGGTTTAAAAGATACATTAGCAGGATATTGACTTTCATGGTCCAACAAGGATGTCTGATTTATTTTTTTATATATCACAAACTAGAGACCAGTCCACTGGATCAGCTTTCTCTACCTCCCAATTCAAGGATGTGAAACCTTCTGCTTTCCTCAATCTGGCAGCAGAATTGTAGGACAGAGAATGACCAGTAACTACCCAAATTGAAGGCTATATCCCAGGTGAGACTTTAGTGCCAGGGGATGATGTGGTGGAGATGTGCATACAAGGACTGTAGGTTTGGAAAAAGGGAAATAAATGAGAATGGAAGGGAGTAAAGAAAGCTGTTTAATGTGTTCTTCTTGTTGAGTGCATATCTAGTATGAGTTCTGAGACACCTGGGTGGAGCTCCAGGGGAAGAGTCCCAATTCTTCTGGGACTCTGTCACATGAACCCAAAACAGCAAAGCAGAGAAAGAATTGAGTATTCTTCCACTGTATGCATGTGTGAGTGTGCATATTTTGCTTAGCTGAAGAAGAGTGGAGGATACCTTGTCTTCCCTCTAATCACCATGAGACATCTGGATTTCTTCAACCTGGAAGTTGGGAAGACAAAGAGAGCTATGTGTGGATCTAACTAGGCTACCTAATCTTTGGTTTCCAAGATAAGTAGCTCAATGCTTGGGCTGCATGTTTCTTCTGCCAATATTTATACTAGAATTTACGTAACCACTGGTAGATCATTTTAAACAGTAAATTTAAATTCCTTATTACTCCTGTCATTGAGAGGTGGAGTCTAATGCTTGTCCAATAGAACATGGCAGAAGTAAGGTTCTAGAACTTCCAAGGCTAAGTTTTAAGAAGCCTAAAACTTTTTTCCTAAGTCTTTATGAACACTCTCTCTAGGAGTTCTGATCCTCTATGCAAGAAATCCACCTACCCTGAGTCTGCCATCTTAAAGAGGTCTCATGTGACATGTAGGCTTTTGGTCAATAGACACACCTAGTCTAGATTTACCAAGGTGCCAGGGATGTGAGTGAAGCTGTCATGAAATTTCTAGAACATCTCACCTACCAAATGAACAGCACCAAAGGACCTCTGTCAATGCCATGTGGAATAGAAAAACCATCCAACCAAACCCTGTCTGAATTCTTGACCCACAAAATCATGAGATAAAATGATTGTTGTTTTAAACCATGAAGTTTTGGAGTAGTTTGTTAAATGGCAAGAGATAATTGGAACAGTAATATGGAGAAAAGAACTTGTTTTAGAGTCAGATCAGAATTTAAATTCTAGCTCCATTGTTTGTCAGCTATGTGATCTTTACTTAACAAGTTATTTAGCTGCTTCTAGCCTCATTTTACTCAAGTGTATAATATAAGTAGTTATGTCTTCCTCTCAGCCTCACTCTGAAGATCTAATGAGGGAACAGAAAACAATCTGGCACATAGCCAGTGCTCCATAGTGCTCCTGTCTCTTCAGTCTCATGACTGTCATTGGCTGCTCCCAATCACACACTCTTCTCTATGGCTTTCTGGAATGTACCAGAGGGGAATGTAGCAGGCAGCAGTATCTTCCCTTGTTTCCTTCAGGACTTCATTATTTTCTCTCTCTTCTCTTCACACTCACTGCCATACCTGTCGAAATCCAACATTCAATACTTTTGGGGAAAAGAATAGAATTCCAAAGATGTGCTGCTCATGAAAAGATTGTGGTTCCCTGCTTCACAACTTTTGTAAATTTTATTGTGGTGAAACATATCAGTGAAATATATCAACAATTCAGTGATATTAACTACTTTCATCATGTTGTACAACAATCGCCACTATCTATTTTCAAGTTTCATTTATTTATTTATTTCTATTACCCTTTCCAAAAACTCTGTACCACTTAAGCAATACCTACTATGGTTGTGGAGACTAGAAATAAGATGGAGTCATTTATACCAAGCCTGGAAGATCATGGCTGCTACCTGGCTTCACAGTGCAAAAGTTTAAGATAATAAGTAACCTAACTTTTAGGGATAATAATTAACTTGTTTCTGTAGATTTATGTGTAATTAATAGTTCTTACTCTTCAACTCCTGCATTCCAGACAAGCAGACACCTGGCTATCTGGGAGCCTGCTCAGTAGGAACTGAACCCTCGAGATTTGCATCATTTGTCTTCTTAACCAAATGCAATTCTGAGGAATAAAGGATTTTAAGGGACATTTTGATGAATAACTGAAATGTACTTTCCTGATTTTCTTTGTTCTTTGGACTTAAAAACCCCATACTGCCTCACCTCAGGGGTAATACCTAGTCTCTTACTGTATGTTGTCCAATTCACAAATTATATGATTGACTAATAAATCTCACCATTGTTTTAACTTTGTTATGACAGTTAGAAATTATTCAATACTCTCCATGTTCCTCTCTCACACCCCCAGGTAACCACTAATGAGCTTTGATTTTATGCATTTGCCTATTCTGGGTATTCATATAAGTGGGATTGCACAATTTTTGTCCTTTTGTGCCTGACCTGACTTTTTAAAAATGCATTGACTTTAATAGCTATTCCACTTTAATAAAGAATCAAGGAAGGAGATAAAGGGTGTTACCAAAATGAACTAGACAAAAAGCTGCATCATGGTCCACAGACTGTCAGTTTTTATTTAAAAGCTATCACAAGTAGAAAAAGAACAGGGCTCTCTGTCCATGGAGTGAGTGGGATTGTGATAATTAGAAAATAAATGGCTTAAAGACAGAGAGGCTCTTTCTCCCTTCTTCAGATGCTGGCAGGTGCTCATCCATCCCTACAGCAGTAGGTAGGCACTGTTATAGTGGCTGCTCCAGAGAAGAGGCCCAGGAATGAACATTTTAATGATTCAAAACACCTGTGCTTTCAAAGCCTGCTCCATTTTTCATATTTACTTGGAACAATTAGCTGAAATAAATCATTTGTGAACTCATACTGCCATTCTACAATATTTCAGGCTGTGTTCTGCTCTGCATCACAAGCCACAAAAGGTCTCCCTTTCTTCCTGGCCTACGGCTATTTTCACAAGTCTTACCTCTAAAAAGCTATTTCATATTCTGTCTTGGAGCAAGAACTCTACTTTCCACTCTCCCGTTTGCCCTTATCCTCCCCTCTGACTTGTTTACTTTCCAAAGCCCTGTGAGATGTAATCACAGAGCTGGCCTATCCATAGGCCCTGGCCTGAGGTCTGGACCCCTCCTGTTTCTTTGTATACTTGTACAGATTATGCTAGATTCTTTGGGACTGGAACCTCCTTTGAGGCAGGGACAATGTCCAGGAAATTCTAAACACTTTGAACTTACATAGGCCTAGTTTAGCTCATGACCAAAATAAATGACAGTGGCTAATATATGTACATTCTATTGATTATAAAGTATTTTATAAGTTAGGCTATTTGAACATCACAATTCTCCAGCAAGGTAGGCATTAATCCCATTTTATGGAGAAAGAACTGAGACTTGGAGAAGTTATGGGACATGCCCATGTAATAGAACTAAGGAACATGCCCATGTAATAGAACTAAGGAACAAAGCCAGACCTCAAATCTAGGTTGTTTGGTTCCAAGCTCAAGAGTTTTCTCACCATTTCATTCTATTTTCTGATTATGATTGACATTAGAAATTATATCTCTTCCTATCCTTAGGTTGGAGTTTTAAGTATGCAAGCAGGAGGTTTTCCTACTAAAACATCCACATTTTGACTAGAGGACTAACTGAAGGGCATGGATGCCACTCATTTCATTATTAATGAAATTGTCCCCATATTCCAACTGATTTACTGTGAGTTTTTAAAAGGTGGTAAAAGTTACAATTTATGGAGCTCATTCTCCATGCCAGGCTCTGTGCTAGTTCCATTTAACCCTCATATTAGCTCTCTAAGATAGGTATCATGAAGCAGTGGTGGTTCAGTGGTAGAATTCTCACCTTCTATGTGGGAGGCCTGAGTGTGATTCCCGGCAATGAACCTCATGGGCAGCCACCATCCATCTGTCAGTGGTGGATTGTGTTTTGCTATGATGCTTAATAGATTTCATTGGAGCTCCTAGACTAAGATGGACTATGAAGAAAGGCCTGGTGATCTGCTTCCCAAAATCAGTCAGTGAAAACTTTATGGATCACAACAGTCTGATCCACAACTGATTATGTGCATGGCACAGGGCCAGATAGATTTTCATTTCATTGTGTGTGGTGTCACCATGCACCAGGGTCCCACTCAATGGCTGCTAACAACAACAACGAGAGGTATTATTTTTCCATTTTACAGATCAGGAAACTGAGGTTTGGAGAGTAGAATAATTAAGAAATAGATGAGATTCATGCCTAGTAATGGATCTCCTGCCTTCTCCCCATTAGCCTCTGCCATCCAACTTAGGTCCTTGCTTGACTTTTGGGCAAGAGAGAGAATCTGCACCATTTAGCCTCTGTCTCCGGAGGTTGGTACCATCTCCCTCTGTGAGTACACCAATGGAGAATTCCTGAAGGAGAACAATGTTCCAATGAGGGGCAGGGCAGGGGAGTACAATGCTGGACAGACCCCAAATAACATTGTTTACTACACAACTATTAAGGGAGTTTTGATATTAGGCTTCTCTGGGACAAGGCCAAGTCAGTCCCCTAGGCACACAGCAGGCCATGAGGAACTGTTGCTCACTAGGGCTACATGTGGCTCACAGGAGCATTCCCACGAGATGAAGGGTCTATTTGTAATTTTTGTCTTTATCAACTTCTGAAGGATCTGTGCTCTTGCCCTCCCCAAACTGCCCCTTTTCTGACTCTAGTATATCTGTAGGAGCCAAGAGAGCCAGATTGTCCTCTTGCAAAAGAAAAGGTTGTTATAACTAACCAAATGACAATGGGTGGTGTTTTTTTCCCCTATCCTAGGGCTACATCACCAAAATCACAAGTTTGTAATTAATTCTTAGGTGGCTTGTGAGTGGTCAGTTCAACCAAGCAGAAGTCTGAAGTGGTTTCTCTGAGCTCTTCAAGTTTGTCCACATTCCACCATAGGACTGTGTAGGCAATCTGAAGCAGACTTTTGATTTTGGTGAGGAAATTCTTTATTTAGTGTAGACGTCTTGATGTGAACTGATTCCCATGAGCAAGCTTTCCCATGATCCAGCAGATCCTACCCATGGCGATTTCTAAGCAAGATGATCAGCAAGGCAACAATTAGACCAATCACAAAAAAATCCCAATATGGTCCAAGGGTATTATTCAATTTCATCCATTTCCACCTCATTGTAAACTGCAGACAAGAGACAATCTGTCAAAAGAAAGTCCTAGCCTCCTGCTCCTTTTAGGACCATTATCTCCCCCTACCCCACCCCTAACAATGCTCACCCCCCAACACACACATCCCACTCTACCTTCACCCCTTACTTCATTCAGTAGTGGAAGACAAAATCTTTGCTTGCTTACAGTTCTCACAGAGGGCTTAACTGACACTTTTACAATAACTGCAATGATTTATAAAATTTAATTTCTACTTTTTTCAAATTATATTTTTTGTGTTATCACTTGCCATCTGCCATCTCCTTACCAGTCTCAGGGTTTTGATAGCAAGATCTATGTTTTGAACAAGTATATATAGCACAGTCACTTTGCTTAGGGCTTTGACATAGGTGCTCAAAAAATATCTGCTGAATGCATTCACTGGTTGTACTATGAATTATCAAGACATACTCAGTATAACAAACAGAATTGCTCTGCATGGTAAAAATAAGGCTTTGGATTTTACTTATTAAAGGAAAACCAATCTATAAAACATTGCCCCTGGGGAGTCTCTTCACTCTGTGCCTAAGAGTTGCTCATTGAAGCTTTCAGAAATTTGAGACAAACTTACATTAAAAAACAGGGTATCTTGGAGGAAATGCACAGTTTCCAGTTTCATGAGGGCAAAGAAGACTGGTATGTGTGCATCTGGACTTGTTTGAGCAGCCATGTCATATAATCTCCTGGCTAAGTGAATGTCCTAGAAAGAGAAGAATAGCCCAGCACTCATTAGGTGCAGACACTTTAGAGGTAAGTAAGCAGAAACCATTGTTTAAAATATTATAGTTTATTTGTAGTAGGAAAAATGGGCCTAATCCTGAGAACCTGTGAATATATTATGTTACATGGTATAGGGGGCATTGCAGATGTAATTAAGGTTAAGGACTATTAAATAAGGATATTAAACAGCATTACCCAGATTGGGGCCAATATAGTCACATGAACCCTTAAACACAGATTTCTCTTGGTTGAGGACAGAAGAGGTAGTCAGGGAGATTCCAAGCATACCAAACCAAACCAAACTCACTGCCGTTGAGTCAGATCTGACTCACAGCAACCCCTCCTGGGGTTTCCAAGGCAGTATCACTACAGAAGTAGATAGCCCCATCTTCCTTCCAAGGAGTGGCTGGTAGGTTTGAAGCATCAGCCTTCTGGTTTAGCAGTCAAACTCATTGTTGGGAAGGATGAGAAGAAATGTGTATAGCCAGCAAGGAAACAAAAGGATCTCAGTCCTACAACTGCAAGAAATGGAATTTAAGCAACAACCTGAATGAGCTTTTGAAGTTTATTCTAAGAAAGAAAGCTGCAGTAAGGAACAGCCCTGATTTCTACCTTGTGAGATTATAAGCAGAGGATTGAGTTAAGCCTACGTGGACTTCTGACCTCCTGTGAGATAATTAAATTGTGTTATTTTAAGCCACTAAGTTTGTGGTGATATGTTATAGCAGCAACAGTAAATCAACACAATCTCCAAATAGCTTTCTCTGATATCCCTGGACCAGCTTTTAAGTGTGATTCAGTTAAAGAGGCAAGAGAATATTAGATATTAATAGTACACTTCCTTAAAATAAATAAAAATATGAACTGTAAGTAATATTTGTTTAAAGTTCTTATTTTTCTTTATAGTACTCATCATACATGAGATCATAGAATTCATTTGCTTATTAGTTTATTATCTATCTTCATGTCCTTGAAGACATTTCCCACCGCTTACCAAAGTGCCTACTACATAGTAGGTCTTCAATAACACTTCTGGAATGAATGAATAAACTATTTTGGTTCTCAGGATAAAATTTTATTTCATTAAATTATGCACATCTGATTAAAAATTAGTTTTGGAAAAATTTGGGAGCTGTTAATAGTGATGACTGAACCACATGATGGACATAATTAATGCCACTTAATTAGACATGTGAAGACTGCATAAATAGCAAATGTTTTGTTACCTAAATATTTAGCATGGTAAAAAAATATTCCTAGAAAAAAAAAAATGAACTCATCAAAATCATTCCACAACTCCCTTTGCATTTATCCTGTATTAATCAACCAATCCTCTGATACCCATTGAGTTTGCCAAGAACACCTTCCAGCAGCAAGAGAATGCAATGAGCACTCTAATCCACTTAGATGTGCATTTCTTGGTAAAAATTAATAAACTGTATTCTGGGGCAAAAAAAAAATGTGTATATTTAAAATATTTTTCACCTACTTATGGTTCATTTATTTGCAGTATTTTTGTTTTGTTTGCCAAACAGAGTAATTAAAAGACTATAGTAGCTTTTAATGGTCGAAATACCTTGGGCTTGTCCCAGAATTGTACTTTGGGGCCCCAGGATTATTTTTAAAAGAAGGTAAAGAAAAGAAGAGGATTTTCACAAGTTGTGGCCATCCAGGTACTTCTTTGTCTTCCCTGCTCATCCCTTTGTTTTTAACAGTCATGGCTCCTTGAGGCCTTTGCTAAACCCACTTTTTTTTTTTTTTTTT